GAAACTCTTCAGGGGCACTGGGGCATGTCCTCTGTACCCCCAGTACTCAGGAGCCACAGTTTCGTGCTCTCCCTTTTTGAAACCCCAGGGAACATTCCCCCCTCAGAGGGTACCATCTTTCTCTCTCTCTCTCTCTCTCTCTCTCTTTCTCTCTCTCTCTCTCTCTCCCTCTCTCTAGGTCCCATGGGTCTGGAACTGTCAGAGAGACAGTTCCGGGCAGGCCACCACCCCAGGGCACTGCACAGAGAGTCTGAAATACTCCCCAGTCTTTTTTGAAAAATTGGCCAGTTTGCTTGTCCAGGAGCTTTGGCCTGCGGGGCCGGCTCCTGGTGTGGGTACCCTAGGGACCCATGAAGGGCCCTGCAGAATAAACTGGGATGCCCTCTTTTTTTCTTTTTTTAAATTTTATTGATTTTTTACAGAGAGGAAGGGAGAGAGATAGAGAGTTAGAAACATCGATAGAGAGTTAGAACATCGATCAGCTGCCTCCTGCACATCTCCTACTGGAGATGTGCCTGCAACCAAGGTACATGCCCTTGACCGGAATCGAACCTGGGACCTTTCAGTCCGTAGGCTGAAGCTCTATCCACTGAGCCAAACCGGTTTTGGCTGGGATGCCCTCTTGGCCCTTTCCCTGCCTAGGTGTGGCCGGAAAGGAATTTACTGACTTGTCTGAAACCCCTATTTTTGTGATTGTCACCCAAGAGACACCTCCAGATCTCCTGGGCTGGTGGCCAACAGGACTTAGCTTGTGTTGACAGCTGCTGCCTGAGGGTCAGGCTTTCCAACCTAAATCTAGAGGCTGCCTGAGGTCAGCCCCACGGGGACAGCAGGGCAGGTCTTTGCACACACTCACTACTGGAGCCACCACAGAAGAAAACAGGCTGCTTGGACAACCAAAAGGCTCCAGGGACAACCAAGGGCCAGGGCAGGGGTGACAGGAAGGTCCATCTCTTAGATGAGGCCACTCCTTCATGTCTGGGAGAGGTGGCTGTGTCATCTAATACACAGAAACCAACACAGAGTCAAGCAAGATGAAGAAATAAAGGAATATGTTTCTCTACACAAGTACCCCAAAAAAACACCTTAATAAAATGGAGATAAGAAAATAAATCAGCCCTAGATGGTTTTGCTCAGTGGATAGAGCATCAGCCTGCGGACTGAGGGGTCCCAGGTTCGATTCTGGTCAAGGCCATGTACCTTGGTTGCGGGCACATCCCCAGTGGGGGGTGTGCAGGAGGCAGCTGATAGATGCTTCTCTCTCATCGATGTTTCTAACTCTCTATCCCTCTCCCTTCCTCTCTGTAAAAAAATCAACAAAATATATTTTAAAAAAAGAAGAAAGAAAATAAATCAGAAGAGCAAAGTACGTACTTTTTTTCCCTCTTTTTCCCCCTTCACTTAAACCTGCGCTTGGACTCATATAAGTCACCAGTGTCTCAGAAGCACCCAAGGCACCCTCTGGACCCCTCTGTCCTAATAGCATCTTCATGTAGTTCCAGGGTTTCCTTTATTCTTGGTTTCTTGTGGCTTGGGGTCCAGTAAGCAGCTATCCAGTTGGCCATCTGATCACAACCCTTTATGGTGGAGGTGGGTATGGAAGGGTGAGGGAAGGAGGAGAGGACACATTTCTGATAGCCTGGCTCGCCTTGGAACCAGATCAGTTACCAAGTTGAGAGAAACTTCTGTGTTCCTCACTAGTCCAAGAGTGCACAAGAGAGGCCAAGACGGAAGGCGGTTCTCGCTGGACACCTTAATCCAGGGGAGGAACTCGCCTGCAGTACCTCCAAATGTGTGCTCCCATCTCTCTCACAACTTTTGTTTTGTGCCTTTAGATTTTTGTCTGGGTTGCTCTCCTTGCTCAGAATGTCTTTCCCGCTCTCTCTCCGACTCTCTACTTTTCCTTCAAGCCTCAGGCATCTGCTGCTTTAGGACAACTCCCTTCATTCTGTGTATTCCTGGCCCCAACATGCTCTCCCTATGAGCTCCCATAGCAACTGTACTTCTTCATACCTGTTCACGTGTTTGTCTTTTCCAACAACTTGCAGGCTTATTCATCTCAACTTCATTCCTAACAGATTGGTTGGCCTTTAGCAGACAGTCAATAAATATTTATTGAATAAATAAGTCGAGTGGAAATTTAGGGATGCAAATAAGTTGAAACTAATCTTGTGAAACCCTAGTCCAGGTCTTATGACAAGCCTCCTCCCGACATCTGACTTCTCTATTCACTGTTTCTGGCTGTGCAGGTACCATTGCCTCAGGGCTGGGACAAGACTGGGCAATTATGAAGAGATTTTTAATGATATGATAATAAAAGCTAGCATATATTAATGATTTCTAAGTCCCAGGCTCTGTCCTAATAACACTGCATATATTAATCATTTCATTCTCACAACAATTCTATAAGGTAGTCACCCCTGTTTTACAGATGGGGAAACTGAGCCTAGGGAGTTGAAGTGGCATACCTAGAACAACTCTCAACTGCTATGCGGACACAGAGGGTTGAACCTTAATAACCTCAGGTTGATTCTGACTTTGAAGGGTGGACCTAGGTCACGGGAAAGACTACATACTCCTTTCTTCTTCTTTATCTGTCATCCCATGATTTAACTTAGGCTCGCCTTTACCTCACGTAACTCTTACCTTCTTTACCTTACATAACTCATACTGCATACACCCAGCCACCATACCTCTGCAACAAGTATTTTTATTTCACCCTTTTCTGAATGAGCAGGGTTCCCATTGTAGGTGGGCTGGAAGGTGCTGCATGAGTGCAGTCATTATGCAGGCCTGAGGAAATGCAGAGTAGCTTGGGCTGTAAAGGAGATGGCACTTAACTCATGCAGCCTGGGACAGAGCAAAAACATTGCTATTTCCCCCACAACAAATCTCTCAAGAGCTGACTGTCTCCTTTAAGCTCTTTGGTTCATAGGAAAAGTAGATCCTTTGAGGGAAATGTATTATGCTGGGAAATAGGGTGTTCTACTCTACTCTAAAGGTTAGCTAGAATTTCTGTTGGAGCCACATAGTGACCTCTGTTGAGATCTGAGCTCATTACATAATGAGGCCAAAGTGAAAAGGAAGAACTTATCAAGCAAGCTTTGAAACTCAGTTATATTTAGTTGAAAAATCATAAAATTAAAGAAGAAACTATGAATACAGTAGAGGTATCTCAGAAGGTTCTAGGGCTTCCCAGGGTGATGACATTAATACCCAGATTTTGCAGAGCTTAAAAACCAACTGAGCACACGTATTTTTAAAGAGTGCCATGGAGATTTGGAACGTTTTTATATATTTTCACATGTGGTAATTTCCATATCCACTGTTAGGGAAAAAAAAGTTATTTATAGTTACTGGAGCAAGGATATAGACTGAAATATCTATATGGTTTTTATTCCAGGGACACAGATTCTGGAATAGACTTTGCTGGCGAGAGAGGAAAGAGAGGGTTGTTTTTCTCTAAATGTCTTTAGGAATGGAAGCTGCATCTTATAATTTAGTAGGAGTTCAGCTTGGAGGTGAAATAATTGACTAAAATTTTAATACGCTGTATGCATTCTGTGAAATTAGTCTCTGAATTTAATATAATATGACTAGAGGCCCGATGCACAAAAATTTGTGCACTCGGCGGGGGGGGGGGGGGCGTTCAGACCAGCCTTGGCCCTCTCTCAGTCTGGGACCCCTCGGGGGATTGTCCACTGGGGGGATCGGGCCTAAGCTGGCAATCAGACATCCCTCTGGCAGCCCGGGAGCCCTTGGGGGATATCCACTTGCCAGCGGGGAGCAGGCCTAAGCTGCAATCAGACATCCTTAGCACTGCTGAGGAGGCGGGAGAGGCCCCTGCCACCATCGCTGTGCTGGCAGCCGTCAGCCTGGCTTGTGGCTGAGCAGAGCCCCCCATTATGGGAGCGCACTGACCACCAGAGGGCCGCTCCTGCATTGAGCATCTGCCCCCTGATGATCAGTGTGTGTCATAGTGACCAGTCATTCCCAGTTGCTCTGCTGTTAGGGTCAATTTGCATATTACCCTTTTATTATATAGAATTGAGACCAAAATGGCCAAAAGCAAAAAGAGTCAGAAAAAGAGTGCCCCCCAAAAGGCTCCTTTAAAAAAACACTAAGAATTAACTTGCCTAAGTGGAAAATATCAACTAGATATTCAACTGGCAACTTTAGGAAAAAAACAAGCAAACAATGGAATCTCGGTGAATTTTCCCCTTCCTATCATAGCTCCCTCCTGGGAAGTGCTACAATTCTAGGTGAATTGATACTCCTCCTTTTCCTCATTTTCATAAGGGGAGATTGTATTTGTGTGTGATATGTGTATTTTACTATGGTCCTACACAATATTAAAATTTCAAAGTAAAATAGACAGGTAAAGGACATTTATTGACACTGACCAAAACATGTACAAGTATTTCTGAAGAACAAGCTGAAAACATTTTCTGGTTTATTTTCTCACACAGAGATCCATATTACTCTGAGGACAGAACGTAACAGCTTTCCTTTGTGGAAAATCACCAACAGGCGGTAAGCTTTGCCGAGAGAGCAGTTCCTGTCCTTAAAGAACTGCAGGGAGAGATGCTTCTAGCGAGTGGTAGTTGGTGCTCCCAGGCCTGGCAGGACAGGACTAGATGAGAGAAGTGAGGGCACTACTGGAGTTTCACTATTTACAGCAAAATTGACCACACTGGAGCTTTGCCTCTGGGCTCTCTTGAAAGATGTGGCTTGAAAAACAACCAGCACTGGGCTGAGGAAGTGCATCTGCGAAGCATGTGGCCCAGGTCATAAGAGTCCAGATTGTGTCCATGGCAGAGTGGCCTCCTGCTCAGAACAGTGTCCAAATAGCACACGTTGGCTGCACCGGGGCTGTGACAGGTCACCACCAGGAGCAACCCTTTGATGTCCCAAAGAGCAGTTAGCATGGAAAAACTAAGAAAAGGCCTTTCCCACTGCCTCCTCTGTCTCTGGGACAGGGAGGCCACTTGCTGTAATCAACTGCTGTGATTGTGAAAGTTCGCCCATCATGAATATCATTTTTTCCGTTCAAATTGCTTCATCTGGGTCTTAAAAGGCATTTCAAAAACCAGATGATTCAGTAGAAAATGCAATGTGCAATTTCAGTCCAGAGTCAGAACTTTAAAGATATTTCTGCTTATTCAAGTTAATTTCTCCTCCAGAAATCTGAAATTAGGTATGGTAAGTTAACCGTTATACACACAGAGCTGCTTTCAATAATTTAATTATTAGACTCATGCCCCCCAAAAGGAACTTGCATGAAATATTAACTATTACTCTTAAAGCAATTTGGACACAGTCACACACATATCAGGAAAGGAAAATAAAAATTCTCCCCAAAATGCCAGTGTTCTGTTTTGTTGGGAAAAATAATGACAACACAATTAGAGGTAAACAATATTTTCTTCAGCTCCATCTCCAGTTTCCCCATCTTGCCTGGTCAGTGTCTGTAGATTTAGCTTTGCTTCTGCTATAAACGTCTGCAGCTCAGGGCCGGGTGGGTTTGAGTCAAGGGGCGTTGGGAACTCAGCCTCAGAGATGTCCAAATCTGCAACAGACAGACAGCACAGGTCACAAGGGAGTCAGCATGAGACCCACAAGGCAGATGAACTATGACTCAGCCAGCCACAAGGAGAATGGTAGAATCCAGTGAAAAAGAAACAAAACAGGCATCTAATGATCTAATTAGTGCGATTAAGATATACTTGGTTGTGTGTACAAATGTCTCCTGTGGCTAAACATAACCTTCATAAAATACTCCTAGGGATGTGTCAAATAAACAGACTTGTCACCATTTGTGGGCTGTGAAAACACTGCTATTGCTGAGAAAGGGTAATACCTATTTATTATTTATTTACTTATTTTTTAAAATATGTTTTTATTTTAGAGAGAGAGGAAGGGGGGAGAGAGAGGAAAAGAGAGGGGAAGAGAGAGAGAGAGAGATCAGTTGCCTACTGTACCAACCCCAACCAGAGACAGAACCCCCAACCTGGGCATGTGCCCTGTCTGAGAATCAAACTCGTGACCTTTTGGTACACGGGACAATACTCAACCAACTGAGCCACACCAGTCATGTTGGTACCCATTTATTTTTAAAAATGGGTTCAAGACCTTAGAAATACAGTGCATACTCTAGCTACATGCAATTAACTATAGTGTTTTTATCTGCATAGCACCTACCCTCAAGTATCTCAAAATCAAGAATTGACCTCAAGATAAATAATGTATCTGGGATTTTGTTGATGTGGGTAAGGGATGGGGAGAAAGGAGTTGAAGGATGAAAACTCTTTAGCCTCACCATTATGCAAATCTGTTAACACCACACAAATCACTTAGCAAGAGTAGCCAGGTTCCTAGGGAAAATCGTTCCAATATCACTATGGTTTTTTTCTGTTACCTAGCAACAGCAGGGCATAGTCTATCCTCCTTTTTTTCTGGTAAAACCCTCTAATATGGGGTGTTTAAGGGGAGGCAAAGGGGGATTTTGATTTGAAGAAAAGAAAGGCTCTTGCTGCAAACCATTTTCTTTGCACTTGTTCCACTGACCATCCTCCCTGGGGCTCAGCCATGTGGCACAAGGACAAGTAACCAGCTCCAGTTGGAGCAGACAGCAGAGGGTGTGTGGAAACACAGGTGGGGAAGATGTGTAGCCCGGGGGCCCTCCTGCTTTTTTTCCAGTCATTAACAAGAAGCCATTATAATCCTTGCCACATTTATTCAAAGCCTCTATTATTTAGATGGATACACATAACCGCTGGCATTCTAATGACAAAAATGCTTATGACTTTTGCCCTCTTGACAGGATCTTTGGTTGTTAGAGAATGCGGAAGCAAGGCCTGGCAGGAATGGAGAGCAAAATGTCCTCACAAGGCTCCTGGGAGAGGGAGGGGAAGAGGAGGTGGGGAGGAGAGTCTGCACTCCACACTCCGCTCAAAGGTTTAGGTCATCCATGACTCTAGATGCCACTGAGGCACAAAGAAAAAAGCAATCCATTTCCATGGGAGTGACTTGATTTTCTGACCTCAAATACAGATCCTGGGCCTCGAAAACTGGAACTCACTAACTACTGAAAACACACCCACTGAGAATGCCTCTGACTTGCACGAGTCTAGAGTGCCTCCTCTGGGACGGTCCCTGGTCTTACCTCCCTCATTTAACCAGGTAAACACAAACACCCTCCTCCCACCCCCTCATTGTCAGAGCAATATAAATCAGCCTAGAATGTTCTATGTCCTATCTCACCACATTAGGAGACAAAGTATGCCTGTGTGGTCACAACACACTTTCACGATTTCAACTGTTTTTCGAGCCATTGAATGAAGAAGGCCATTCCCCCTCTAAAACAAATATTCCCAATTGAACTCCTGATGTTTAATATTACACAATCTAAAAAAAGAGAAACCCACGCAAACCTCAACACTTCCATCCAGCTCACCTGAGACACTGCAGTGCTGCCTCCTAGCCAGCAGACGGGCAGCCAGGGCACAAGAATAGGACATGGAGAACGAACAATCACCCACTGAATGAGGTGGTGAGGAGGTGATTACTGACAAATGGGACAATGCCAGGCACGATGGAAGCCAGTAATCCATGTAGTTTCCTTCCTCTGAGTGTGAACACTGTAGCAAGGAATCTAAAATACTGGTGAGTCTAGGTATCTGGTAAGGCCCCTTAATGGTTTCAAGAGAAAACTTGTTCAAAAAGAGCCAAATATATATCAGAAAGAATTCTTTTATCTGCCATATCCCTAGTTCTGGGAGACAGAAAAACAAGAATGATTGGGGGAAGGGTGGGGAATTAACGTGCGCATGTAGGTGTAAAGGGGGATAGAAGTTTGATCAGAATTTTTTCAAGTAAGAATAGAAATACATTTCTAGGCAAGAGCTTGGTGGACCCTAAAGTGAATGGCACACGTTGTAATCCCAGATGTATTAATGGAGGTGGTTTTGGTGTGTGTCACCTGGAGGGGAACTCAATTTCCTTCTCCGTGTTCCTTCTTGGTTTCTACCTAGACTATTTAGGCAAGGTCAGACAGCCTGTCTTTGAAATTGAAAACCGTTCTGTGATTTCTGGTTTTATTACTCCACTTCAACCCTGAGAGAACTCCAACACAGCAGTTGTATATTTCTCAAGGTCAGTCACCTTTTTCCACACATTTTACCTTAGAGAGTGTAATCATCATATAGAACTTCCAACTCAAAAAACATTCGTTAAATAAAACCTCACTGATTCAGAAAGCAGAATTCTTGGGGAGTAAAGTTAATCATCCTATTTGATTCGTGACCAAAATGCCGGTACATTGCTGGACATAAAAATAGAATACCTCATTTTTTAAATAAGTAAAGGAATAGTAATACAGTCATAATTTGGGCAATAAAAAGCCAAACGCTACTATAACAAAACAAACTTTAAACTACAAAGAACTTTTCAATCTAGAGGATGGGACACAACTTTCCCCCTTAGTTGACATAAAAGAACTACCTTCCCATTCCTCTGGAAATTAAACAGGGTGAGCATTGTTGTCCTTAAAATAAGAACACGTAAGATGAAAGACATAAAAGTCCAAATGCCCCGTTAAACCAAGTGGAGCAGTAGAATCTTGGTGCAGGGTTTTTTCTAGTTAACACTGAACTTTTATTCTGATCCTAAAACTTCATCCTTCATGGGAAATTTCCTTAGACCCATTATGGAGTTTTGGGGAACCTTCTGCACTGACACCCAGCGACAGTTCCCTCAATCTCCCTGTCTTTAGCCCTTAGTTGCAACCTGCTGGTTGACATTTGCGTTTATCATTTTCACACTTTTCTCTGCTCACCAGCTGTTGGAACATCAGGGGAGTGAATCTGGAGTCTGAGACGACATACAGCCATGGCACTCAGCTCCTGAAAAGCTGACACCAGCAGGAAGTGGGATTGGCTCACCGTCATCCTTCTTTTGCGCCAACTGAATCATTGGTTATTTTCAAGACCAGACTATAAACTCAAGGTGTAAAATGCACCCATGTACCATATTAAAAATGAACAAAGTGCCTTCTAAGCTGAGAACTGAATGAAATCTTTTAAACCACAAGGCAAAATGTAACCTTGGGCTAGTCATTTCCCTTCCTCTGGCTTCAGTTCATAAAGGATTGAACAGGGATCATCATTCAGGCCTCTTAAGCGTCTTACGTCAGAATTTTTATATCTGTTTCCTGGCCCGGTGACTCACCAAATAATCTTCTAGAGGTGCAACAAATGCATGCAGTTTTCAACAGCTTTATGCTCAAAGAATGCACATTTATTACCCTAAGTTGCATTTTAAAATAATGTTCTTAGGGTAATTTCCAGACATATGTTCCATCCTCTAGCTTCAATCTTCCCAACATCACATAGTTGAGCTGAGCCCTCGTACAGTCCTCAGGGTAGGATTTGGGAAGCCACCTATTAAGTGGAAGATAATGCCCACAGTGGAGACCTGTACTTGACCTTTCCCTCTATGATCAGTCAACATAAGGGTCACTTGTCATAAAGAACAGGTCTGTGACAAGTCAGAAAGGGTTGTCTATCATTTAAAAATATTTAATTAATGTAGTCTTTGCCATTGTCCGCATTTTCTGAAAAGCATCTTAAATCATGATAATTTTTAAACAGAAGCTTATTGAAAGCACCATATACTTTTCATTACGAAAATCAACTCCCAAGGTCTGAGTGTAGCTCCACAGTGTAGCACCTGACCAGGCACCAGCAGCCCGGCTCGACAAAAAGGATGCCGAGTCTACTCTTGAGATTAGTGGTGATGCCTCACTTAGCCATGTCTCATCCTGTTCCACTCTCCCCAACGAAACTCACAGGACAGAGGTTCGTGTATTCTGGGTCTTGGCTCTGTTCTTGTTTATTTTAATGAAGCATTCTGACTTGCACTTCATACTCTATCCCTTGTGCATGTTCCTAAAATCAAAATTCACACTCTCCTAAAATAACTCTACCTTCAAAAAATGTTGTCATTAATGTTCCAAGTCTGCAAAGTAAGTTGTTTCCCCTACTTAATGATTGATTCGTGCTTATACTGTGAAACATCTTAAAAATCGTTTCCTGATGGCATTACTGGCAATCACTATTTTTTCTCAGGAGCACTAATGCGCAGCATTTTCCTTCTAATGGAAAACACTTATTGTACAAAGCGTGAGGTGTCTTTAGAGCAAAGGAAAATTGGTCTCTGTCCCTCATTTTGCTCAACTCCATTTTCCGTAGCGAACCACAGACAGGATGTGAGCCTCTGGCATGAAAACCACTCTGGAATTGCTATCTGAAACCAACGCTCTCCATGGGTGTCATGATTCCCTCTATTATTCCTCATGTACCAATACTGCTCCTGAAATAAAATAACCAAAGTGTGCTCTAGGGAGTGTGTGTGTGTGTGTGTGTGTGTGTGTGCGTGCACACATGTGTGTGGTGTGCACGTATAAGTTTGTAATGTAAGAAAGCAACCAAATTTTTTGTTTCTGTGACTATTAGAATTGGGCTTTAGTTCCTTATCAGTAATTAACATATTTTGAATAACCTATGTTGG